TCCTGCCTCAGCCTCCCGAGTAGCTGGGACTACAGGCATGTGCCACCATGCCTGGCTGATTTTTTCTGTATATATTTTTAGCTGTCCAATTAATTTCTTTATATTTTTGGTAGAGACGGGGTCTCACTCTTGCTCAGGCTGGTCTCAAACTCCTGAGCTCAAACGATCCGCCCACCTTGGCCTCCCAGAGTGCTAGGATTACAGGCGTGAGCCACCGTGCCCGGCCAAGGAAAAGTAATTTTATATTGAACGCGAATTATTTTGTAAATTACAACCTGTATAGATCTTTATTACCAGCGTTTGAAAAGTTTGTTTTGGTTTATTCCTGACATTGGGAGGAAAGAGCATTGGATTTAAATCAGAATATCCACCTAAACCTAGGCCTGAATTTTCCACTAACTTACTGTGGGACTGTAGGTAGAATCTCTGAAAAACTTCAGCTCCAGTTTCTTCATCGGCTTAAAAGAGAGAGAAGACAATGTCTGATATCCCCTGTTACCTAACAGTTCTGTGATTCATAAGTAATTCCTTTTAGTATTCAGTAGGACTGTCTTCTCACCCCGTCCCTTTCTTTTACTGACTTTGTTAAAGCTATTCTTTCAGCTTACTAGCAAATAATGTTAATATCCAGATTAAGGTTCTCTGAAAATAATTTGTAATAATGCTTATATTTTTCTGTCAACAAAATACTAATGTTTTCATTTTTATCTGAAAATGTTCTCTGTTTCTGTACCCAGAGGGTTAGCCAGAGTCATTAGTGACTAGATAATGTTGGACCAGTAAGAGTTGCTTTCTCTTACCCTTCAGTTTCGTGAGACTGCATTTCTAGGCTTTGCCTGATTCTAGCAGGAGGCACAAACTGCCAAAAGGTTGGGTTCTAACAACTTAACAGGATTTAGAACTAAATATTTCACATTAAAAATTAAAAACGCTTAACAATTGCTAATTGTGGATCTTGAAACATTATCTTTAATTCTCAATAACATTCTATCCTCTTGGGAAATTCTCATTTGCTTCTGATCTAGTAAGGTAATGTAACTCTCTGCTGTAGGAGTTTTACACAAGTGAATTTTTAAAACACAGTATAAATGCACATGTCATAATTTTTTACATTTTCTTACTGGCCAAGCCCCAAATTAGAAATTGACCTCACTGACCTTTTACTAATGCAAATTTCTAGGAGATATTTTAAAGACTTAATAATTTGTTCTTTATAAAGTGATCCACAAGAGTGTTTCTCTGTACTTTGTCACATTAAAAAAGAGATTTGAAATCTTGTCACAATGTTTTTAAAAACCTTCCTTTTTGCAGCTGGTTATATTCTGGGCACTAAATGAAGGCGTTTCTAGGCAATTTGATTCGTTCAGAGATGGATTTGAATCAGTCTTCCCACTCAGTCATCTTCAGTACTTCTACCCGGAGGAAGTGAGTAGCTTATGTCTAAAAGACATGATTATTTCTAGTTCTGTACCTGTAATTATCTTAGTGGAGTATTTTTTTGCTGTGTAGTCACAGACCCCATTGTTGCATAAAAACAAAAAATGGGGGTTGGAAGCAGGGCATGGATGTTTGTGAAAGACAAGGACATTGCCCGAGCAAGGAAGAATGTTAAAATAGGTGTTCTCTCTTAGGGAACATGTGACCCAGTCAGCATAGCATCTTTGTCAGCTGAGACCCTAGATGCCACATGGGATAGTGTCTCAGTGGAGAATGGGACTTGTGCTGTGTGTGGCGTGCTCTGCATATTTCTGTACTGCTGTGGCTGCTGGGAGAACCATCGGTCTATGGCAATGAAAACTAAACTTCCTGGATTGGATGAGGCATTGTTTCATCATCAAAATTAGTCCTTGAAGCTTTAAGGAAGTGTTGCAAATTATCTAATTGCCAAAAAACAGAGAATACTTCTGAGAATGAAAAAAAATGGATTTCTGTGCATGGTTCTCCCCAGCCATCTTTACTTTGAATCACAAC